AGTGGTCAGTTATCCTGGCTGAGCCTCCTGTCCCTTATCTGTACTTGCCAAAGCGCCTTTTTTTTTTTTTTTTTTTTTTCCTCTTCACACCTAAATATACGAGGCCCCTGACTGTTGCAGCAGAGTTAATGGTGTACAAAGTGTGGAGGGAAATCTTCTGTCACATACTTCATCATGGTGCATGGGGGCGGTGGGAGTTAGTTAGTGAACTTTAGAGCTTTAAAAAGTTGACCTAATAATGTGTAACCTCCACCTTGGAAACGGCTCAGCTTGGCTTTACAAACACTGTACGGTGGGAGGACTACGTACAGTCATTAGTCAGATGAGCCGACTCCTTTTATGTCAGATGTTTTATTAAAGAAAATTACTACAAAACCTGTAAATAGTTGTTGCATTTTAAATATACAGTATATTTCCATTATATATTCAACTACAAATTCAACAACAGGTATTATGTTAGTAGCTGGTGTGACAGACATCAGCTAAAGGGGGTTCCGAATCAAATCAAATCAATCTATGAAAATGTTGCATCGACAATGAATTGAATAATATTGAATATTGATAATTCTCTAAAGATTGAAACTAATGGTTTTGCGATGCATAGTTTTGTTTTGTTTTTTTACTCTGGTAAATACATAAACAATGACTTGAAGATATCACAGTCACAAAAAGTTAAGGATGTCTTAACAAAAGTGTGTTCCATTTCACTGTTTTCTGTAATTTTCAGTCTTATATTTACTTAAACCCCAACCCTTTTATCCCATGTGTAAATCAAAAGCAAGTGAAAAGTCAGATTGAATAAAACTGCATATTTAGACTGGGTCAAAAGATTTTATTTTACTAAGCTGCGCAGCTGGATTTTACAGTGTACACACTGAAGCCAAAGCCCTAAAGGAGCTATAGCGATATGCCATGGAAGTTAAAACAATGTAGAATAGGGATTTGAAGGTTGTGATGGGAGGAGTGCTGGGGTTCAAAGCACCGTTGGGAGTTGAATTATGCCCAAGGCGATGCTGACAGCAAAAGAAAGTTCAAGAGGGCTGGGAAAAAAGGCAGAGGAGCCGCTGTTGAAAAAGAGGGTTTTTCTTGGAAGCTTCATGGTGTGGTTAGCGGGATGCTGAGTGGGGTTCGGTGAAGGGCCCCGGGGGAGGCCAGCAGCTCCAGCAGACAGTAACCTACGATGAGAGCTAACTGAGCCCTGACATCAAGCCCCTCTGTGATCCACTAAACAGCAAAGACCATACACTCTTATGATCTATACCTGCGCCTGGCCCACACCTCACCACCTTTTTAGACCTGGTTTCTATAACAGTAAAAAAAAAGAAAAAAAAAAAGAAAGAAATAATATTGTGTCGAGTCTACAAAATACAGAAGTCCATTTTGTTGCCTTTGGAGGCCCTATACCCAATTTCTCTCATGTAATTGAGCAAAATGTGTTTTGCCCCAGTGTAGTTATATTATAAGCAGCAAGCAGCTCCTGGGGTCAAAATAAGTCAGCTGTGTACTGTCTGCATTTACTAATGAAGCATTTTATTGCTTGATAATCAGGAATTGCACATTAGCATGCTATTTATTGTTAGTTTTACTGTGATGTCAAAACTCCGCTCTGCGTACTGAAAGTTGTCAAAATAAATTCTAAACTCATAACAGCGAATAATTTGGATGCTTGGAATACGTTAGGTAAGTGAGGAATAACCTTGGACATTTTAAAATGAACTATAGTTGTGATTTTCATGCTTTCAAGAGTAAAAATCAGGTACAGCCTTTTTAACTGCTAAAGAAAATGTACAAATTCCATAAGAAGGTATTCAAAGAAGTTTATGTTTCCTCCACAGATGTAGACTTTGAAAGCAGCGCTTAGAGCCTAGAGGCAACTGTTTTATGTCTTTCAACTGTATTTTTGCAGTGTATCAATAGTTGTATTTATGTTGCATTCATGAGAAAACGTTTACAAGGTTATGTGTGTATATACTGTGTGTTGATTCTGTGTGTATTATTATAATTTTCTGACCTGGCTGACTGTATTAAATGTTGTATTGACCCATGCTCCAGAGATTAACCCTTTCGCATCCATAATTCAACTTGTTATGATTTCAAGGGCTGAGGAGACTGTAAATGTGAAGAAGAGACTGACCATCACATATTATTTGGTGGCAGTTAACCTTTGACTGAGTATAGCTGAGGAGTGGCAATGATTTCAAAACAGAATAATACGTACTTGAAATATTCCATGGGTTTTACATTAAATCTGTGGTTATGAAAGTGCTTTTTTTTCCCTGATCAGCTTTTTTCTCTATCAAGCCCATCTGCATTTGCTCCTTAAGTCCCCTAAATCCTCTGACCACTGCCTCCCTCACAGCTGCACTTTTACAGCATTTGCTAATGTACTGTAAACGCCATAAAATACGACAGGCCCATAGTTTTTCTGCCAGCTCTGCCTTTATATCATTTTTACACCATTTTGAGTTCCCATTTATTTATTTGAAGGCAGATGCGATTTTATGCCTGTGCCATGGCTGTAAAGTGCTACTTTGAAATGCAAATGAAGCTCTGATTGAGAGTTTTTTTTTATTATTTTATTTAAAAATGGAGGTGCAGAGCATGAGATGGCAGTTTGAGAGCCCAAGTCTGAGGAGAGATGTTTTGTGGTCCCATTTGTGTATTGGAGATGAAGTGCTGGTAAAACTGTATACTCAGAGAGGACTTTGTGGGACACACTGTTAAACTTCTTATAGCAGTGACAGATCACACACTGTGGTATTCTACAGTTCTACATGTTTGCACTCTGGAATTACACGTGATGTGAAGTGCATTAACTGTTGACTGTAAGCACTGGAGTTTCACTTACAGTATTCAAAGATGATACCGAAATGGCCATTTTTTCTAAGGTGGTGCATGGCAAAAAAGTCAGAAAAGTTTGAGAATGACTGAATTAGATGCTTCCTTTATTGTTTAACCGGGTTATAAGTTCCTTTACAATTTCTTAGCACTTTTGACCATTGCTGTTAGATTATGGACAGCCCCAGAGGCTCTCAGGAAAGAACAATTTTGTCCATTTAAGTGTAGATTTTCAGAGAAAAGCATTGGGGATCCAAATGAAATTACACATTATAGTGTCTGCTTATAGCCTTATATGCACTTAAATCTGAGAATGTACTTGAAAGATAATGGCTTTTCAGCAGCGTTATGGTGGCTCCTGCTGAAATGGATCTCTTTGCTCTCGTCTTGACAGGTTCTCTTAGCAAAGGTGTTAAAATGTACTTCTAACACTGATGCTTTATCTTCTATCTTCTATCAGCAGATCGCCTCACCTCAATAAAGCTCCGAAACTCACTGGTCTGTAACAGCATCCCACTCTCTGACAGGAACATGGCAGGGCCCGACCTCCTGCTTTGGGCTAATTCTGTTTTCTTTAAACATAGAAAAGTTCTTTTATTTTTAGCTGTTTTACATTATTTAACTTTGAACAGGCTAAGCCCTTACAGTGTGCTGAGTGGAGGTTACAAAAGAGACATTTTTTCACTAGATTAGTGAAGTTCTGGTATTCATCAAATATACTTTTGAAGAATATCTATGGGATTTTCGAGTATGGATTGAATTACATGCTTTACACCTCTCTTAAAAATGCATACTTTTCATCAAAGAGTCGGCCAAATTACTAATTTAACACAGAGCGTCACATTTTACAGTACATTATCTCATACCTCAGTACATGGGGTATTCTTTGTGCTCTTCTCACATCTCCATACATTCACTATAATGTCTATCTCACATCCACAAGTGTTCACTGTAATACCTATCTCACATCTACACACACTTCCTCTAATGCCTGTAAAGCCTGTAGTGCTTGTATGTATGTGTCAGGTGATGGCTGTGGTGGAGCAGTGCAGCTTGTGATTTAACCTGGCACTTTGGTGGTGGTGAGCTGCTCCTCCAAATCACGTCTAAGTGCTGGATTCATCAGTATCCTGTGGAGATGAGAGAGTCAGGCGGCGGTGACACAGAGATGAGCCTGTGATTGGGACAAATACGTCTCCCTCTGGTGTCAGCTCTCATTCAGCGGTCGGAGCGGCGCGCTCAAAGAAAGACAAATGTTTTGATTAGGGGTCTCTTTCAATGTCACAGCAGCGCCAAGACAGATGAGAGGAGTCTGTCTCTGAGGGAAGCAAAGAGTTGGCGACGACCAGGAGAAAATGGATGTCTCTGCTGTCTGCAAGATGTTGAATTGGAATTTTATGAGTCAGGCTGAGCGTCTTGTTTAATGAGAACATATTTTTATTGCTTTTTCATTTTTAGTCTCTTTTTTTAACAAAAGCATCCGGTAGCAATCAAATGTAGGTGATGTTATATTGAGTCTTGAGACACTGAGAATAGTAAAGTAAAATGGAAAGTTTCCATTTTGAATCCTGCGAGGTCAGACTTGTTAAGATATTCAGTTGTCAAAAAAAATATATATATATATAAAAAATGAAGATCAAATTTATCTTTGATCTAAAACAGGAAGCTAAAACCCATGAATATAAGTGTTTCGTTCCACACAGTGCATATGTAACACTTTGATTTGTGTTGTAAATATCTTCAATTTCAGTTGGGGAAAACTTAAAATAGGACATAGGTACCCAGTCCTTTGATCTCAGTTTTGATTTCACCTCACTCCAAGAAATCTGTAAATCTTAAATGTCAAGGCCACTTTTATCTCCAGGGCTAGTATTGTGTTAGCGTTGGACAAAAGGCTGTTAAATTGAACAGTGACCCAGCATGTTAATACAAGATTCCTACTTCAAACGCACGGTACCAGACTATGGCCCTCTTGACAATGCATCAAGCAAATAAGACACCTGAGTCTATTTCAGATGCTCATTAGTTTATAATGGACTTCAATATCAATATCAATCCTGCTAAAACCTCTTCTAGTGCCACTCAAGGCTCTTGCTCGGAACACGTGATTTCTTATTTTGCCAATTCTAAAGTGCAAAAATGGCAAAGCTGAGACAATAACAATGTCGGCCTTGAAGTCTGAGCGCAAATATTCAAACAACTATTCAGGTGAGAGAATACACTAAAAGAAAGACACATAGGATGAGTGTGGAAATGTGTACAAAAGGGCTTTTAATGATGAAGCAAAAAAACAGAAGGGTCCCATCCTTTTCAATCAGATCTAAACTCCCAAACTCCTCCTCTCGGCAGCCGCACTCATTTGCATCTCTTTCATGTCCAAGCTTCCCCATTATGCCAAAGTGAAAGCCAAAAAACTGGTCCATTTTGTGAAGCTTCATTTTTCACAGTTTTTTAATCAATACCAGCGAGGAGACAAGGGTTACGGCTGTGTTCGGGTGCATTTATGATAACTGCTTATGCTTTGAACTGCTGTTACCTTGGAAACCTGCCCACCAGAATGGGGGGTATAGAGCAGTAATTACAATCAGCGGTCAAGCTTGGGCATTTGTTTACATAACAAAGCTCATAACATACATTCTGAAAGTACATCCTGTTTTATTATAGGTTTTATACAAACTTCAACAAAATTGTAAGGATTTATTTTTACACTAACACAAAACTCAAATCAATATTTCTTTAAAATCAAACTTTTCACTCCAAGCCAAGGCATGATTTGACCACTTGACAATTCCAGGACTAACTAAGGGCTACTATAAGTCTTACAAAACTGCAATACTAGTTCTACACCAGGACTAACCCAAAGGAGTACAAAATGCGCATTAAAGCACTTCTAAATACAGTAAATATTTGAACTGCATCCATGCAACAGAAGAAGGACCTAACCCAACCCGTACCACGGTTTGAGAACCACTGCGTTTAAATCTTGTATGAAGTTTTATATTAAAACACTGACTACGATGACTTAGACTCCTGGTACACAACAGTCAATACACACCATTTAAGTTACTTCAATTTGTACAAGTTCCACAGCTTCAATTTGTCCATGACCTTTGAACTTTGCCATTACAGTGACAAAAAAAGACAGCAACGACACCGCCCCGAGAGATTTCATAAACTGTTTGTCGCCTTTAATGCTCCATTTTTCTGTGTCCGTGAAATCTTGTGTCTCGTGGCTATGTAGTGGATGATAAAGCACGTGCCCGCCAGGCCTTCCCGCTGTTGCCATTTGTAATTTTTTAGAAGTCATCATCTGAGGCCATCCATCTTGATTGTGCTCTGCCGACTGTCATGCTCCACTAATGCACAGTGTGAGGCAGGGCATGAATACGGCTTCCGGCGCCCGTCACGTTTATCTGCACTGCTCTGTGAATTAGCATTAGCACGCTCACATTTGACTCACAACGACAGGCATTACAGCACCCCCATGCAAAGGATTGGGCCATTTTAAGTGGATAGACTGTGAGTTTGATGAGAAAGGTGCATCATTTTGAAAGCTCTTATAAAAAATAGGGAAGAAATAGTTGCCAATGATCAAACTCAAAACAACAACTTTTTAAAGATTTATATTTGGGACATAATGGTCACTTGTGCGGAGGTTTTATTGGAAGAGTCTATTTGAATTAGATATATGAGTTTTGTTTATATTGAAATAAGCATGTGCCAATGTACAAGTCTTTTATTGTTTATGATCTTAAACAGTATCCACACAGCACTGCACAAAGAAGCAGTTGGAATTTTAATAACATTCAAAAATGAAAATGTTTCTGTAGGTCATCCATTGCTTACTGGGAAAGTCTCAGACATGGGTGAGTCCTTGTCATTTCTAATGGCATTCTTTTCTTTGATGGAAAGTATTGGACTTTCTCTTGTTTGAAGCTGACCTTCGGCAAGAAGTTTGAACAATGCCAAGTAAACTTGTGTCATCTGAAAGTTTCTTGTCAGTCGACTGTCTGTCTTAACTGAGATGAGCATGAGATATGTGCTTGTTAACGCTTGATGTTTTTGCCAACACTGTCACAGTCTATAAAAAGTGCTATATGTGGCGATTGTTTACAGCTTATGTAACTTAAACCAAGAGTCTATTGCACAAGAAATATTCACAGGTTTAATTTGTCAGGTTTCAAATAGAAAATATGTAAATGTACATATATTTGTATTTGTATCATTTGTTCAAATAAAACAAAATACAGTATAGCAGAGGTGGGACCAAGTCTTTGTTTTGCAAGTCTCAAGTAAATCTCAAGTCTTTGACCTCAAGTCCGAGTCAAGTTCCAAGTCAAATACAGGCAAGTCCAAGTCGAGTCTCGAGTCACTGGCTTATAAATCGAAGTCAAATCCAAGTCGTCTGCTTTGAACTTCAAGTAATTTCAACTCTTTAAATCAAAGTACCAAATATAGCTTAGACTTTTGCAATTTATTTGACTTTTAAGATAAATTGTACTTTTTTTCCTTTTTAAATGTCTGGACAAGTTCTTAGTGTGAATTATTATGGTCAGAATATATTTATTTCAAGTGTCAAGTCAAGTCAAGTCCCAAGTCACTGACCTTCAAGTCCAAGCTGAGTCCTAAAAATAGTGACTCAGGTCTGACTCGAGTCCAAGTCACGACCTGCAAGTCCCACCTCTGCAGTATAGCATGTCAGTTTAACAATAGTAATACAAAATAGAACAACCTTTGTTAACCACATTTTCTGCCAGCCAAATTAGCATTAAACCCAATTCCAGCACACAACATAATAAAATTCTTCACTTACCGTATAGCATGATAGCTACTGGCAGTAAATTGCTGAAATCTCAGAAGCTGTTTGATTCATTCCACACAGTTGACTAACATATACTTTAAAACATATGACTTTTGTACTACCAAATAGCAGGTCTGGAATTCTGAGGACAGGGGGTAATAGTTTTCATAACGACCCTGTGCTAAGCTATGTGTGGTGTGGTCACATGGATGCATATTATTTCTGTTGGAGTGGGCTGGCTCCGTGTGTGATGGTAATTTCCAGGCCTGATTGGAGAAGAGTGCTGAAATTGGGGACAGTTAGCAGTGAGGGGAAAATAGTGACAAGTGTGTGGAAATGCAGCCGCTGTCCAATAGTAAACAAATTATGTGAAGTGAAATGACAACATTAGGTATCGCCGAGTCCTGCCCCACATCAGGAATATGGCAGTTTGGGCACACATTGTTATTGATATGTATGGCATTTGAGGTGAGATTCTACTAGTGAATAAGCCAACATTTTAACCAATCAATTTAATTATTGCAAAATGAGGAACATTTTGAATGCAAGTCAATGTGAAAGCTTAGGACCCATATTACACTATTTTTGGATCTTTGTTATAATGTTGTGGAGTTGTGTTTTGTTTTATTCACACAAACTCTGCACATTTAGGCAGATTTATTCTCTCATACAAAAAGTTCCACCTTGTGATGTCATGTAGTAAAACAGGAAGTGTGCCACTGTGTTTTAAAACTCCTTCACTAAAATCTTTTGGGTCAGTTCAGCCCTGGAAGTGCCAAGCTCCATTAAACAAAAGGTAAAAGGTAAATGAAACCTGCCACTACATAATGTCACAAGGTGGAACAGAGAATTTTGAGTTTTGGAGATGTAGACAAACTAGTAATAAAAGATCATTCAAACTTGTGAATGAAACAAAAAAACAACTCCAGGTATGTTTCTGATGATACAACAACATTCTAACATGGCTTCAAGCTCCAAGAATCCATTTTCTGTAATATAGGACTTTTAATTGCCAATAAAGCTTGTAATCAAACTTCAAAAACTTTGTTGCTTGTCAGATGTGCCAAGCGTTCATATACGTGTAGAAAACAACATAAAAATGTAAACAAAAGAGCCATGGATCAGCCTAATTAACTGCCTGGTTAAACATTAGGTTAATAGAAAATTCTTTGAGGTGTGACAACACAATCCTGAGCTTTATACACCATGTTCCGAATTTCAAATAGAAACAACTTTTATTTTTCACTTGTTGACTCACAAATCAATCAGCTAGATTGTGTTTTACCTAGAATGAAAATACTTACAGGACCCATATTATGTGATTTTCTGATCCATGTTATAATGTTGTTTCCTCATCACAAACATAGCTGGAGTTGTGTTTTGTTTCATTCACACACGTTTAACCGTGTTTTTAAATTCTACACATCTTCAATAGAATCCTGGATGATTTCAGCCCTGGAATTGCCAATCCCATAAAAGTAAAAGATAGTTATTAACATGAAAACCTTCACTACATGACATCACAAGGTAGATCAGAGCATTTTGAGCGTGTGTGAATGAAACAAAACACAATTGCAGGTATGTTTTTGAGGAGGTAACAACATTTTAACATGGATTCAATCTCACAAGACTAAAATTTGTGTAATATGGGACCTTTAATATTTTGTACTCTCTTTTTTTGTTTTGTTTTTTTTGTTTGTTTTTTGTACACTGATTGACTGTAAATATAAGGTTTCAGCAGGTACCCTCTTGCCTTGGCTAATCCTTCTTCAGCCAAACAAACATAAGCCAACTTCATGATCTAAAATGGTAGCACTTGGTGTACTCTGTTACCAAAGTGCTGCATTCACTGGCTCTTGTAATTCCCATTGAGGTTTGAACTTGGCCGATTTGACAGAGATTTATTCAGTGTAAAGGATGAATGACTGTACCCACCTTGATGTAAGCTGCACTGGACTCAAACGCATCACTATTCCCTGGCACCTGCACGCCTGTGACTACACACTCAGTCAGGCTTTAAATTGAATGAAGGAGGTCACTATTTAACAGCCCCAGTGACAAGTGAAGTCTGCTACCTGTGAAAGTTTGAGTTTTATTTACCGATCTAGAATTAATGTGAAGCAGTTACAGACCAGTGTAGCTTTTGTGCCAACCTCAAACCTGGGCAAATAAAGTTATCTTATCTTATCTCGATGTGATTGATTTACACGAAACACCTAACCAAAGTCAATGTGGTAGAGCAGACACAAATGGTCTCACTTACTATTGGTCAGCCTCCAGTATGAAGTAAATTACAGTATTGCAATGCACAGTTCAAGAACAGCAAGAGAATAGAAATAGGCACTCAAAAACATCAAGATGAATATAAATGAGAAAATATGCTGAAATTCAATTTTAATTAATTGTAATGGGCAACAGTGGATCAGTCGGTAGAGTGTTCAACTGATCCAAAGTTTGGCAGTTCGAATACCACTCTCAACATAAGCATCATTGGTAGAGCTTGTGATGAATGCTGTCGTGTCCTTGGGCAAGATACTTAACCCACTTCACCCCTAGAGTCTGCGTACACTGGTGTATTAATGAGTATGTGAATGGGTGGGTGGTTCCTTGATGTAAAGCGCTTTGAGTGCCTTAAAGGTGGAAAGGTGCTATATAAAAACGTGACCATTTAATTTTGATCTGGTTTCAAGAAAATTGTGACTATAACTTTCTGGCATAGCGCCTGCCTCTGTTTCCCGACAGGGCTGTGGTTTTCTGCCTAACATGACCACATATCATAGGCAGGAGCATGCACACATGTTGCCAGAAGACAAAGTGCACCAGAATTGCCCAATTACATTAAGTTTGATGGTATCAGTTTTGACTGAGCTACACGATTCTCAGTGTTTTACCAAAACAAGACATGTGTTCAGGAGCTGTCTGTTTGTCCGATAGCACACCCCATCTGAATTATGGCCCCACAGCCCAGCACAGTCCAGATAAGCCCTGCATGTTCAGAGTCAAGGCTGAACAAAGGTGTCTGCTGTGAAGGGCAACATACAGTCTGTACTATAGTGATTAATGTCTGAAGCACGCCACATCACTCATAGCAACCATGCACTTCTGAAAGCATGATTAACCAGCCAAGAGCTACTGCATGATAAAAAAAAAACACACTGCTATTTCACAATTTAAATGTTTATTTATTTATGTATGTATATTCAAATCAACCACTCCCTGACATTGTGCATTTCTAAAGCTGTCACATGAATCAATATGAAACGACTGCTCCCATATTTAACAAGCAATATATTACACAGTTCGATCTTAGGCTGAAAATGTACAAAGGGATTCTGATGGCATTTCCAACTTAATTCAGATTAGTTGCTAAGATGACGATAATTTGTGAGTGGGGTTTGAATTTATATAGCAGATTAATAGGTCCCCATGTCTATATTAGCATACAGTAAGTCATTTTTCTGTCATCTTCTTTTCTTTACAGTTTATATGCGTACAGTAAGAATCCAGTATGAAAAATAACATGTCACAGACAGTAAATCATAGGCATGGCATACATGCCAACAACAAATATATATGGATGTATAGTATTGGTAAATGGTGTAAACTAAAGTTTAAGGTTATTAGGCCTGTCCTTTATATCTATATCATTGATTGATCGATTGATTTGTTTTTATTTCTAGTTTGTGCCAAGAGAGAAACAATAATCATATACATTCCATACACACTGTGAACAACAGAAAAGCACATTTCTCGAAAAGGAGTGGGAAGAAGAAAAACTTATTTGAACCCACCCTGTTCATGACATAGTTTCAAAAATGATGTGGTTACTTCTGTACATTGATCACAGAACTTAACAAATATTTACATATAGTGATGTGAATTACATATTGTGCATACAAAATATAATTTATCATTTTAATTATAGCATCATCTTGAAACCATTTCATAAACAGCAACAGGAAACAAAGATGATAATAACAGTACGGCAAAGTATAACAAAGTACTACATTAACATTTAAACTTAATATACAAAGGTTAGGTCTTGCACTCACAATATTTTTCACTAACAAAAAGACTGATGTTTAATTAAAATGTGTATTTGAAAAAAAAAAAAAAAAAAGCTAAAAGTCTTGCTCTTAAAACATAACATGGACTCTCTGAAATGCTTTCCTGCTCTCCAAGGCCACATCGCTGCAAAACAGTTTGTTCTCTAATAATTTGCCTGTGGTCAAAACAAAGGTTACGAATGGCATCACCAAAATGATGAGTATAATTTTATCTGAAAACAAGACCCAATTAGTGGCGTGTGCACATTCAACAGCACATCTGAATCTGCAGCACCGCAGCTGTGTGCTAGGTGTTAGCTGATAGGCAGTCTGCCAGAGCACTTCACTATTAACTACACATCAGCCTAATGCAAAAGCCTACCTTCCCCTCTCTATCTCCACTGTACACCAAATAACACAAGCACTAATGGAGTTTTTCTGCTTGAACACCCGCTATAGCACAGAGCCACTAATAGCAGTCGCCCAGTCAGAATACAAGGGTGCGAGGGGAGCTAATGTATGTCACTGGAGGGTGTTGGCAGACGATCTCCTGCTCAGTGCTGTGGTGCATGAGTTTGGCGCATCTCCACGGTTACTTTCATAAATGAAGCTAGCTGAGGGCTGATGTCTGTCTATGAGCGACACAGCTTCACTTTCACCTCACATGAATGTACTGTAGTGTCTCAAATACAAAAAAACTGTACATGTCTCATTTGAATGGTGCCCTTTGGCTGCTGCCTTTAACGTGTGCCTGACAAGAGTTTGACTGAAATTGGTGAGAATGGGGTACGGTTCTCTGTTATTCCACATTATAAAGGTGCTAAAAGGGGTGTGCATGCATTCATAAACTATAGGTAGTACTGTTTTTGGCTTTCCTCTTTTTTGAATTTCCTAAATATGGCTTCTGTGCAGTAATATGCCCAATAACAACACTGGACATTTCAATGTAACTCCTTGTCTTTAGTAACCACCATTGATACAATGAATTGATTTTCAATCCAAAGTATATCATATTACATCTTTCTTTTCTTTGAGGAATGATCATAGATGTTACAGCATTCCCTTCCTCTCTTTGATTTCCTTTCTCCATAAAAGCTGACTTATTGTTTATTGTGTTTTTTCAGGTATAACGGCCATGTTCTCGCAGCAGCCCCAGGACCTGGTGGTGGTAGCTGGTCAGCCTGTCACATTGCCCTGCACTATCCCGGGATACCAAGGAGTGGTGCTGTGGATCAAAGATGGTCTGGCCTTGGGAGTGGGCCGAGACCTCTCAGGTATGACTTCACCTCCACAAAACAAACTCTCTGGTGTCATTTTCACTTGGATCTTATTTATTATTGAACTGTTCAGCTCTGCAAAATATGAAGAACAGCTGTGTAGCCCCTCAGATCATCCATGTAGGATCCAATGGGGACAAATAAGTAGTTGTCTTAGTTATGATGTAGTTAGCTCCTCACTTTAGGCAAATATAAAACAGTGTCCACTGGCAATTTGGGCAGAACAGGAGAATCTGCTTTGGATGAGTTTCAAAACATCATCACTGTAAAACAGGGGTCTCCAACCTGTAGCTCGGGAGCTACCAGTAGCTGTCCACTTCCTTCCAAGCAGCTCACTAAGGGATTTTTGAATTATATGTGTTGAGCAGAATAACTAAGATCCTATGAATCAAATGCTTATTATCATTGTGCATTGATACATAGATAATGGTTTATGCTTTATAGGCATCAGTCTTCATCTAAGGCTCACCGTGGCTGTTATATTTACTCCAACCTCTAAAATGAGTAACTCTCAGGCATTTTTGTTTTATAAAGGTAGTTCAACAACGGAAAAACGTTGGATACCTCTGCTCTAAAAACTTTTGTCCAGTTGATGGGATAGAATTTTTCTTTTGCTATATATATAAAACGTTGTTAATTGAATCTATAGTGGCTTTTAAACATGAATCACAAAACATATTGCTGTATTATAGCAAGGCTCAGCAAATGTTTTATAACAGTAAATGTTAGCTGCCCTGAAAAGGAGCATAGGATTCTAATCAGCACTTTACTTTTATGTGCCAATAAAACAAAGCCCCATCATTTGGACGCTGAGCAGGGCAGGGCCTGGTTAGTCTTGGATGGGAGACTGCCAGGAATACCAGGTGCCACTGAGGGGCAGCAGAGGCTCTAGTGGAAACTGTGAAGTCCTTGAGCAAGACACTTCATGTAGTTTGCCTAGTATGAATGTGGTAAGTGAGTGGGTGGTGGGGCCAGCTATGGTTACAGTAGTAGCTTACCCCCACTGAGCATAGAGTGAATGAATAATGCAGTGTAAAGCAATTTAGGAAAGCCACTATATAAATCCAGTGCATTAATATTAATGCCTTCCAGACGCTCAACATAAAAATCTGTATAATGTAAAAGTTGGCAATATTATGAAAACAGGTTTGGTATTGCCATATCGCAATAATACCAATATTTCCATCCTGTTTATCCATAACACCATTGTGTCTGCCAGTTAGCACTTTAACAGCCAGATGAGAGACGTGTCATGCTGCTAATCCAGGAACTGCTATAAAAACATGAATAATAACATCATAGCAGTCCACCTGAGTAAACAGAATGAGGAGCTTGTGTCCCAATATTTGTGTGTAAAACCCACTGAGTGGCATAATTCATGTTTGGCAAAGAAACACTGAATAAAATGTAGAATCAATAGCAGAGCTGGCCTTTCCGTGGTGCTTCAGGCAGCTCAATTGCTTTGTGAAGAGCTGGAGTCCTCTAATTACACTGCACCTCATGTATAATTGCCTTAATTGTTTAATTTGGAGTAAAAGTGACTACTACACTGTTATTTAGCTGCCTGTTGTTGCACCAGTCAAGGCCTTATGTTTATTCATGATCTTGATGAGTTCCAATAACACAAAATTGCTTGTATAAATAAACCTTTTGAAGTGTTCTCTGTGTGAAACAATATACATTTAAAGCAATGCATACCAATGTCTATATACGGAAATACCAAATATATTTTTTTGGCATCCACAAAACGAATATATTTTGCATTTAAAAATATGAAATCTGATCTTACTAATTGACAATAATCAAAATGCAAATCCGACTAAAACTATTTGTTCTGCAGTGTTTCTGACGACCCCTGTACACCCACCTCCAGGCTGATTCACCTCTCTATTCTCAACAGTCAACCCACTTCCTCAAAATAGATGAGAACAAAATAATAATAATATTTTTTTTTTTTTTTTTTTGCATTATTGATACACTTTTGAGGTTGCATGTGGCCTGGAGCAGTGTTGAGACCTTGGAGGCAGAATGAACACTATTTTTGTCTAAATTGGTAATTAATAAAAGTGTGTATTGTTTACATTTATATATACTGAAAGCTATATTTATTTGTTTTTCATAACACAAAATAAAAGCGAGTTAAAATCGTGACTGATCAATGTGAGAAAAAAAAACGTTATATTTTTTAGTTAGTGTTTAGTTACACTTACCACTTGGCATAAATGTTTGGGCTCATCTTTTCTTTAACCACTTTTGTTTGGAAATTTAAATACACTTTTTAAGTAATGTTTCCATCTTGCACTTATCCATGTCATAATTTATCTGTAATCATAATCTTACTCTTAGGTGTAATGGTGATATTTATTTGTATTCCTTTTATTGTTGCATGTGTCTAAACAAGGTCTATTTTTAACCACATAGCTAAATTAAAATCCATTGTGCACTGTCATCTTAAAGCAGTGACTTGTAAAACACAGAGAATCTTCTGATCTCAAGTGATTGCATTTGTATTCCAAGAGAAATGGAGGGTTTGGTGCCCCTTGACCTTTAGACAATTCTCCAGGAGGCCTTTGCTGTTGCTGATATGGTGTGTAATTAAAGGCGTGAGGTGGACAGAGCCAGTAAAGCCATCCCATTCCCCGCACAGGTCCTTATCAGAGCCAGGGGAGCGGCCGGGGCCTAGTAAACAATGGTCCACAAGTCCTCACCAAGTCTCTCTGCACGCTTAAGATTGGGAGAGATAGAACAGGCAGAGTTAAAGAGCAAAGAACTGTTTTATTTTGGGTCAGCGGAGCACAAATGTGGAATCTTATTTGAACTTCTGCTTTTACCAACTAAAGCAGTACACTGAGGTTTAAACCATAAAGTCTATGGTATAGGCTATAAAGAATGCACAGGGAACACTTTCAGACACAGTTCATGCTTATGGAGCAAAATCACAACTATGCATATCCTACAAAATGTACAAGAAATGTCAACATCAAACATCTTCCTGAACAAAAACCTGGTCCAAAAAGTAAACTACAGAAGTTATATAAGGAGATGTCAAGATGTGTTGCAGAAATTCCATAAATACGGACAGGAACTATGCACTCTAGCAGTGAGACAGATGACACTTTCCAAATGAAGCGCTCCACAGCTGTCCTTTTTATCACAGCCTACATAATCAAGGCCTGCATATGGCAGTAAACGCAGTGATGGTACATCCAGCACAAGATGTACACAATGAAAAGGAAAGTGCTGTATACATAAAAAGTGTGACGAATCAAATGTTGCTCAGAGCCTTTCAATAATATAGGTCTGCTCCACTATTCAGAGAAATAAGCTGCGTGTGCAGCGGCACTGCGCTGAGACCTCTTCCCATTCAACCCACAGTGATTAAACCCAGAGAACTCTTTCACCATTCAGAGCAAGAAATCACAACACAAAAGCTCATGATTTCTATCTGTCCCTCAATTCCTATTCATTTCCTTTTGTGCTGCATTTTGCCTCTAATTAAAGAAAAGCAAAGTATGCCCACAATGCCAGAGAACATACCAATCAATTCCATGAATATGCATGGTGTGTATACCTGTTCTATGAACAGAAAGACACAACAGCAACTTGAGAATTCATAACATACTCAGACATACTGAAACATATTGTACCTCAGAGCCCACTTTTCTTAGTCTGATAAATTAATGTCAGTGTCAAGTTATTTGTTAATTATGTGCTTAACATGTTTTACATTGTGTTTAGTTCTCTGTCTTTCTTATTCGTGACATTATAGCTCTGTGTGCTTTACCACAGTGTTCCAGCAGTGACTTGATGTAGATTCACTTTTGTAACTTACTGTATATATCTAACCTCATTGGAGGATTGTGGATCCTGCTCACCTTTGGTAACCCCGATGTCTACAGAGTGTGAAACATATTCTGGGTGAAGGCTATAAATCACAGGGCAGGCAATAAGTGTCTGTATGCCTCCATACACACGCACACATACACACCCACGCACATACACAGACATGCAGGCACACACACGCGTGCGTGTGCGCGCACACACACACAGGCACACGCACGTCCGCGTACAGCATTGATCCAGCCTGAAGACAAATCCATTCTCCTCTGATGGATTCATTACTCCTTAATGGGCCTATTTTACATTGTTTGCTTTGAGTAACACATTGTGTCTTTGGAATGCGCTGATGTCTAAGATCAATGGGCCTTTATGGGAGCACATCACATGACGCTTGGTGATCCGTCTTCATGTCTGACAGTTCAAATTCGGTCATATTGACAAAACGCATGCTCGGAACTGTTATAAGATGGCATAAACACATTATGATGTTTATATAGTTGGGAAATGAGTTTATAAATCCCTATCATTTACTATCAGCTCCAAATGCAAATGACTTTTCCTTTCGCATCCAACAATTGCTCAGAGATGAAACTGGAACAGCGCCATTTCCTCACACAGCAAAATTATTCTTAGTTTGCCGGAGGCAGATGAGGTAATTGGCCACATCATCTGTTTGTGTTACAGAATTTACATGGTTTATGTGCTGCTGCAATTAGGAGAAGCAAAACAAAAGCTTATTAAAAAGTCTATTGCGTTAGCAGTGCTATACACAAACCACTTGGTAAAACTGTTGAAACTGGAGTCAAACCAAGGTCACCTTTTATCCACCCCAAAGTGCCATCATCATTGCCCCATAATAGGCTATGGCAATATTGCTCTGGATCTCATCAATGCACATAAAATTGAACCAAAATGGCTTCAGGAGTAACCTTGAATGACATCCTTTTTTAAGGCCTTATTTCAAATAGCAGGGACCCTTTTAGTCAATGGTTATCAGTGTTATTAATGAAAGCTTTTAGTTGCATTATCGTTTCATTCCTGTATTGCTCCTCAAAAGCCACTCAGGATATTTTTTTCCCACAATAACGCACATATAGTATTTCACTGCCATTGTTGAAGCTCAATAATTTGCTTCTGACATGATGTTGTGCAGTTCTTTACCGCTTACAGTAAAGCCTTTATTTTTAAACCTATTTGTGGATGAAATGGGAAGAGTGGCTTGGGCAAATATAATTCACTTCAGACACACATATAATGGGGTAAAGTGCATAAGACCCCTTATAAAAAACATGAGTAATTGGACCGGAGGAAAACGCCTAAGCCGGAGAGGAATCCAAGGATGCTGAGGCTTTAGTAACTCGATTCCTTTGTGTATGTAAGGAATATTTCCATTGTATTGAAGCTTCTCAATGGAAATCTCTAGTGTTTGTAAATCTATGCCATATGCATCATATGCATATTTTATTCACCAGCCAGTATTGTCCAATGAAGCAGTCCTGCCTAATGTTTGCAAATTAGTCCCTTTTTGATGGTGGCTGTTGCTCATTTGGTGGAAACAACAACCTATTCTGCCATTGTGTCCATTCATGTATACCATGTATACATGTATACGTGTTATTAATGAAAGCTTTTAGTTGCATTATCGTTTCATTCCTGTATTGCTCCTCAAAAGCCACTCAGGATATTTTTTTCCCACAATAACGCACATATAGTATTTCACTGCCATTGTTGAAGCTCAATAATTTGCATAATTATACATTTACCATGTATACATGAATGAGTTCTGTGGTTGATAGTGACAGTACCCATGTTAATTTTTAATTATTATTATTTTTATTTTTATTGTAAAATAATACTCATATTTCAAATCATTCAAATGCTGTGTTTAATATTTATACGGTGTTCATTTTTATTCTATTCATGAGTTGGTTAGTAATATAAAGAGCTGTTCTTTAAATCTAAGCAATCTTCCAGTCCGAGATGCTACCCATAAAACTGCCAGTCAACTCATTCCTCTTCATAGTTATGTGCCCCAGTGGAGGAAAGCAGTGCAAAACACATTCTCATTGCATATTTCAATAATAGTTGTGGGGATATCTTTAAAACCATCTTGCTGGAGTTGTGTAAAATGCCCAGGTCTGTTGGCCCTTGCTCTGCTTTCTTGTGTTATTAAAACATAAATCATTTGACAGAGAAATGGTGAAGCACTTTGAAACATGCCTGTGTGTATTTTTGGCTCTGTAGAAGACAGCATCAATCTACACACTGTATTCAATTCATAAGCAAATCCAGGACATATGTAAAAAAATCACATGGGATTTCAGGTTTGTATTGACTTGGCAGCAATATCCACACTGCATATGGACTTAAGCAGAGCAACTTCATAATATTTTGGGGCAATTTTAGAACAATTTCACATATAACACACTCAAACCATAACTATCTAAATATTTTTGGCGTTTTATTTAGTCTCATTCTACTTTCCAGAGCCTGCTGCATTGGTCATTCTCAGTAGCTCTGTCCTCGGCCAATCAGAACTATTTTTATAGCCAAAAAATATAAACCACCTCATTCATCTTATTAACATATGCATTTTTTGGTGTGTTTGTATGATGCATTTATTATTATTATTAACATTTATTAACACATTTTCTTTTCATATATGGGGGAGAGCAGATACATCTGACTGAAATAAGGGAAAAGATCAGGAAGAAAGAAGGCAACAGCATCAAGGATATCCAAATAAATAAAATAATGTAAAGCACATCCAAAGAGAGCTTAAGTGCTCCTCGTGCACCCCAAAGCTTATCCTCAACCCAACAATATTCTACACCTTATATTGTCTTTTTTACCATTTTACTTGACCTAATCACATGTCCACATATGAACTGGACTTAAATAAATACATTGACATGAACTGTTGTGTTGATTGTTGTGTTGATGTTGATTACAGGCTATCCTCGCTACACAGTGATTGGGGACCGCGGCTCAGGAGAGCACCATCTCCGCATACAGCACGTAGAGTTAATGGATGATGCTGTGTTTGAATGTCAAGCTGTCCAAGCTGCAATGAGGTCTCGCCCAGCCCGCCTTACTGTACTAGGTAAGACGCATGTAGTATTATTATTATTATTATTATTATTATTATTATTCACATTATTACATACAATACAATTGTATTCTGTAGTCGAGGATTTAAGGTCCATAGTTATTAGTGGTATGGTTTAGTGCTATGGTTTGAAACTAAAGCTGTACTATGTAATAGGCATGTAACGATATCCAAATTTCATGGTACAATATTATAATGATATGCATCTCATGGTACGATATTTATTCCAATATTTTGAAGAGGCTAATTGTAGATGGGACACTTTTTTGCATTTAAAATACCTTGACAAGATTTTGGTGTGAATTATTTACACCATAATCCCAAGAATTCAAGTAACTCTTGAATATTTCTTTATGTTTTCTGCACTGAAATGAATCATGGGATATGTAGTTCCCTATGTTTATAAGCTGCTGCTACTATAAAACCATGCATTTAAGCTAAGAAACTAGTGATTTAATATATTTTAACAGCCCATGATATTATTGTGAGACTTTTGACGATACGGTATCACGTTACATCCCTACTATGTAACTTTTGTAGAGGGTACCCCATGTGGTTGACTCCATGGAGATGTTATTGTTTTGCCTAGAATGTTGTTCAATATGGCAATAACCTATTTATGTTGTTTTTATATATACGAGTAAGTGATGTCATCAGGCCAAGTTACAGGTATTACAAGGTATTTTTGAGCAATAGAAACACCCGTATTGAAATGCAAGAGAGCTGAGTTTAATGTTGTAATGTGGAATATTCCAGGCAAGTAGTGCTTTCACCCCCACCCAATCAGACAAGGTACGCAGCTCTCACCATAGGAAGATCTTTCCTCTATCTTATATGTCCATCTATGCTACTTGGGCTGGATGACAAAACTCTTCAGGGATCGTTTTCAAATGTTGGCCTTGGTTCTTTGGATAACTTGCAAGAAGGATACTGTAACTTCTAAAAACTGTCTCAGTTCTTTTCAATCATGAAAAGATTATCTTTGAAAAGCCTTGTGAGTCCGTGACAATGCAAAAAAGGACAAGGGGAGAAAAACTGTAGTAAGAAAGTTGTCTGCCACGCAATTTCCTCACCACGACCAGTGACTGATCCACCTTATTGATTGAGTCTAATGAAAAGTGAAAATAACGATTTGAGAAGGGAGAAGGCAGAGTAGAAAAAGAAGGAGAAGACAAACTGCCGCATAACATGTCTCAGCCTGCCAGACCCCCTTTACAAATGGACATGAGCAAATTATACACAGAGCAAAGAGGTCTGGTGCCATTACAATCCCTAAAGCTATCAAACTAGCTCTTAATGTTTGTCTCTCACCATCGCGCTGCTGTGTCACTGCCAGATCTGTTCAAATCGGCTTCAACTTTGACAAAACACAACTCCCCGTGAAACAAGATTGTGCTTTTGACACAAAATATATCCATTCTAAACCAAGCTTTAATTTTAAAAACTAAATTCAATGAATGTATGTACTATATGTAGATGCCAATGTGATTCAGTAAACCAAAAAATATACTTTTTTGCAATATAGAATCATAATTTCTAGAGTTCTTTTTAAAGACAATACAGTAAAGTGTATTTACCTTGTTGACATATTTCGGCTGCTAGCTACAAGCCATCTTCAGAACTGCCACCGGTGTTGGTGGTGACATATCGTATATCAGCTGTTGTTACTTCCTGTAGGTGTGGTCAGCCTGTTGGATCTGGCAGGTCACTAATACTGACCACACCTCCCGTCGCCTGGTGTTGTCTGGAAGAAGGTGTCCCAGGTGTGTGTGTGCCCATCCAGAGAGCCATGAAAAGACACAACATGAGCACTCCATACACAAAACAAAGATAAAATCCCACAAGAACAAAAATGCAACGCCACATACGAAATCCAGTGCAAATCATGCAATAAATCATACATACATACTGGCCAGGCATTCCACATTTGAAAAAAGGAACACCAAAAGGAATGCAAAAAGGAAACATCAGGGAGACTCACCAGAACACAAAAAGACAAAACAGAACAGGAAAACCTAAAATACACCATATCAGATCACTGTAAAAGAAATAACCACATTATAGATGGGACAGGGCTCTTGTCACTGGATCGAAAAACAACAAGTTCAAACACTGGATCAGGGAGGCCATTGAAATCAGGAAACGAGGCATGGACAGCATTAACCGTGATGATGGAGCGTTCCTCCTTTCACACACCTGGGACAGAGAACACCGGGTGACAAGAGGCATGGTCAGTGTGAGCGACCTGCCAGGACCATCAGGCTGACCACGCCTGAGGAAGTAACAAAAGCTGTCAGGAAGTCACAAACGCTGATATACGACACGTCACCACCAACACCGGTGATAATTCTGAAGATGGCTTGCAGCTAGCAGCCGAAACATGTCAACAAGGTAAATACACATTAATGTATTGTCTTTAAAAAGAACCCAAGAAGTTAAAGTACACAAGAAGACAAAATGAACATCTTTGGCTTAATATAGAATCATGTTTTTTAGCAGTGGTTTTCAAAAGCCTGATGTAAGCAAGGGAGACCATCTGCACCATCAGCCGCTCCAACCACGCACACCACTTTCAGACTAGGCAATGTGGGCGAAGTGTCTTGCCTAAGGACACAATGACAGAGCTTGGTCTGAGCTGGAATCAATCCTCTGACCTTCAGGTTGGGGGACTACTACTCTAACTACTGAGCCACTGTCGCCCAAAGAACACCCTTAACAATTAGTTATCAATTCTGACAGAACCAAAAATAATCAGTAAAGTAATCCATCAAGCCCACATTAAGTAAAACAAAACCTTTACTGCGTGGCCCTAGCAGTAATGAATGAATGCCTATTTGGTGCGTCAAGCAAAACAAAACAAAAAACTCGCAAATACCCATAGCAATTCCGCGTAGTACATAGCGATCGTTAAAGACCTAATCACTGCTAAGAAATTGGACTCCCTTATTACCCAGTATTTGCCTGTCGCGGGGCCTACAGTTTATCATGCCTCTCCATGAGCCTGAATTGGAAGTGTTTGTTTAATCCCCCGTTGTGTGCGCTGACTTCTGAATGCACCGTGAGGAAGAACTTCATGCAGATGCACACACACAATATACAGCAATGCAGGAAATATATGCAAGGTCTGTGTCACTGCAAACTCCAAGCTGTCAATTACTTGCCAGTGGTGACAGAGTGTGTCTATCAGCTCCGGCCCCTGCACACCTATGCGTAGCTCACACTTTTATAGGCACATCGTATCCTTTTTCTCAAGCAGACAGCAGAATAAATCTACAAAAAAGTCCTCCAGCAATCTTTCTCCATCAGCACAAGCTCCTCTGTACCACACAAACTTTTTTCTCTCTGCTCTTTGATCAGAATTAAAATGCAAAACAGGGTCCAATGAATTTACATGAAGTCTAAGGGTTCTGAAATTGCATAGAACATCAGATAATATTAAATCTACTCATGGTACAGTCGTGTGGAGATTTTGTGCTGGACCCAAACCTCCTTAATGTGTTTGGGAGGGCATCTGGCATAAATATATATATGGTTATATATATGAAACTGTTTGTGTGTTAGACTTTATTTGTGGCAGTTGAGTGATGTTATTTTTAAGTGTGTTATTGCAATTTGGATTCATGGCCAATGCGTTTTAATAAAAATAAGTTATTAAATAAATTGAATTAAAACTGTTAAAACACAAACTGCACGATAAATAAGTCAGTATGATGAGGTAAGCTGGTCTTTAATCTCAAATTCTGCCTGAGAGAATTATAATTGATTTTTGGAAAACAAAGTAAACGCAAAATATGAATAATTTATGTATTTTTCAACATCAAAATGCCCTGCAAACAAACTGATGGTGCACTTAACCCATTTGAACACCGGTGGAGCTCCTCCCAGCTCTCACTGGACCAAATCAGATCAGGTCTGTGTGAATTAGTCATGAAGCCGGAGAATGGAGGATTCGGGTCCAAAAACACCCCTGAGGCTAATTATATCCCTTACAGCAGGTTGGCTCTGCTCCAGACCTTTGCTCCATGTCTCGCTCAGGTCAGCCACTACCAGAACAAAGCGTCAACTACTACTGTTTGATTAATATCTTCAACTCAAATGGTATAAGGATAGTACTTTATAAAGGACACAATGTGCAAATTTTACTTTGAGCTCCAGTAACATTGTTCTTTGTCCAAAACATACCTGGAGTTGTGTTTAGCTTTGTTCACGCTTGTTTTATTTACCCTTTAAAGGTGCATTGTGTTACTTTTCTGGCAGAGGGTGGGTCAAATGCTTTTGTTCATGGAGATGTTATTGCCTTTTTTGGAATGTTTCACAGTATGGTGTTAAACCGTTCTATTTTCATGGAGACCAAACCAAAGTTAGTCAGATATGTGGAGAAGCCTGTTTTTCTAGGGATTTTTGAGCTATGAAACCACCTATAATTGAACAAATGTAAGGTAGAGCTGTTTAATGTCATACTGTGGAACATTCCAGGCGAAACCATAACATATCTATAGAAACAAGCAGGTGACGGTCCCCCAACCAAAAAATGACATAGTGCATCCCCTCTCCCTCTCTCTCTGAGCCTCAAAAATCACTCTAGTTTTTATTTTCCCCAGATTGTGATGTGAAAGGTAGAAATCCAGAGGTTTAATGCACTGCTTCTAAGTCCATAAATCATTGCCAAACTCGTTCTAAGCATTTGTGCAGTCAGATTGCATTCATTCAACTGCATGATTACATTTGCATGCTGGCATTGTTGATAAAATAGCATTTGTTTCCAAAGTAATTCTATTGAGAGTGAGTTTGTTTAAAGGCCAGTAACAATACAACAATGCGTATTATTTATCCTTTAATAAAGAATAAATACCTTTTACCTGAAAATACATTTTGACCTCCCATACATTTCAGTTTATTAAAGGCCCTATATTATACAGAATGGATTCTTGGAGCTTTTGAGCCATGTTAGATTGTTGTTACATCAGAAACATACCCAGAGTTATGTTTCATTT